CATTGAGATTTATGTTCATTATATACGACAACTTCTGGCAGAAGGTGTTGTACAACTATCTTATTTGACAACAGAAGATCAGACTGCAGACATGTTGACCAAAGCCTTGAGCTCGAGCAGACATTGGTATCATTCTTCCAAATTGATGTTACACACCCACCATCAATTTGAGGGAGGGTGTTAATTATGTATCCATGTCAGCTTATGATTGTAATTAGGTTTTCTCTATAGAAACCTATAAATATTTTACCGTGTAGCACTATTGGCTTTAAGCCGTCATAATACCAAAAACCTGAGAGGGAGATCCTATCCGTGGACTAGTGCCATCCTGACAATACTACGTTAAAAAACCTTGTGTGTTCGTGTTCATCTTTCTCGTTATTTGTTTGTTAAATTGATAGAGGAAACTAAGGGATTTAGGTGACAGGTGAAGAATTATTCTGGAGCTGGCGTAAATTGCCTAGAAATGATATTTTTGAGAAAAAAAATAATATTAATTATTATCATGATATTAATTATAGACGGCGTCAACATCAAAATGAAACTTAGGAGGGACATGAAATATAAGAGGAAGCGTTACAACTTTTACAACCCCAGCAAGTAATACGGGAATGGATCAGGTCAGTAACCCATTGGTAAGTAATTATGAGTAACCCTTCCACATCAGCATGACATCAGCATCCCTCTCTCCTGGAAAGCCTTTAATTTTCCACTCCTAAATCTTTGACGGACGATTTCTCACTCGTTTTAAGTCAAAATTTAATTTTTTTTACACAATTAGATCAGATTAATTGTGCTCTTCAAAATTATATTCACTTTGATATATTTTTAAAACAAAAAAAATTGAGTCATTTTTTACAAGTCTATACCATATGGTATTGACTAGTATTGAAATAAGAGCATACCTATGGTTTGAAAAGCGTACCATGGTGGTATGAACAAACTAGGACTGTAGGATGGTCGAATACATGATAGTAGAAATATATTAACTGTCATTTACGACTTTTATTATTGTGTACCATAAGATACCACCCCGTACCAGGGTGGTATTGTCTGGTATTGTGTGGTATTTTTTGGTACTGTAATTTGTTCACCCAGAAATTTGTAGATCCAATAGATCATGATGAACTCGTCCCTTCTGTGCAAACGTTTTCAAAAACGAATTAAAAACGAAGAAAATACCATATGGTATGTAGTTGGTACCGAGAGGCCAGAATTTTTTGTTCTAAAAAAAATAATGAAAATTGATCTCATTTTGTAAAGCACGATGAACTCGTTCCACATGTGCAAAAAAAATTAAAATCCGAGTTAAAACGAAAAATATATGAGCCGATTAAGAAAGCTAGAGAAAATAAAAATAGTCTTTAATTCTTCACATTTAGATCTGGATTTTCTAAACGAAGGGTCCAGATAAATGAAGGGTCCAGATTATGCACCAATCAATAACTAAATCTGGACCCTTCGTTTAGAAAATCCAGATCTAAGGATGGAGAATTAAAGGTCATTTTTTATTTTCCCTAGCTTTATTAATCGGCTCATATCTTCTTCGTTTTAACTCGGATTTTAATTTTTTTGCAAAGATGGAACGAGTTTGTTGTGCTCTACAAAATGATATCCATTTTCAATATTTTTTGAGAAAAAAATTTCTTGCCTCTCGGTACCAACTGGATACCATATGGTATTTTCTTCGTTTTTTATTCGTTTTTGAAAATGTTTGCACAGAAGGAACGAGTTCATCATGATCTATTGTATCTACACTTTTTTGGGTGAACAAATTACAGGACAAAAAAAATACCACACAATACCATACAATACCACCCTGGTACGGGGTGGTATCTTGTGGTACACAATGTTAAAAGTCGTAAATGACAGTTAATATACTTCTACTATCATGTATTCAACCATCCTACAGTCTTGGTTTGTTCATACCACCATGGTACGTTTTTCAAACCATATGTATGCTCTTATTTCAATACCAATCAATACCATATGGTATAGACTGGTAAAAAATGGCTCAAATTTTTTGTTCGAAAAATATGTCAAAGTGGATACCATTTTGAAGAGCACAATTAATCTGATCTAACTGTGAAAAAAAATTAAATTTTGACTTAAAACGAGTGAGAAATCGTCCGCCAAAGATTAAGAAGGAGAAAATAAAAAACTTTCCGGGGAAGAGAGATGCTGATGTCATACCGATGTGGACGAGTTACTCATGATTACTCACCATAAGGTTAGTTACTCGTTACAAGTAATACTTGCACGTTTACGAAAGACCTATTTTCGTAGCTGATTTGTATCGAAATTGACCATAACTAAGCGACCACCCACGACATCATGATTGTCAAAGGTCTATCACCGTACTGTAAATTTACTAATTTAGGTTGTGAATAGTGAAATCCAACGTTCCGAAATCAACCTTAAGTTGTCTTTTCAGCCGTGTGCTGGTAGCACTGGTAAATTACAACATGACCTGTTGATCCGACCTGAAATCGCTTGAATAGTAGAAATTTTATAACTCAAAATTCGAATGATTCGAACTCGATAACTCGTGATTTTTTGGGTTGGTTTGGGTGGGTTATTAGGTCGACCCGTTAGACCCGTTCTATTTTATATATTACTCCCAAAATGATAAAATCAATCATAAATTGGTGAGATGTTTAAAAAAAATCACAAGAATTTGAATGACACGTTTGGAGTTTAAGGAAAACCAAATATCATGTGTTTCTTGTAGTAGTATTACTCTTGTGATTGTTTTTTGATGATTTGCGCAATTTGTATTTCATTTCATTAGCGTGGGAGGATTTGAGAATATATTAATTGACATGTGTTAGGTAAACTATTGTCATGCATATGTGAAATTTGTGTTTTTTTCAGAAAATATGAAGCATGTTTGATATTGTTTCTGAGAGCGCTCAAAACGACCTGTAACCCGACCCGAAACCGAATGGATTGGGTCAACATTTGACCCAAAATCAACCAACCAAGCATGACCCGACCAATAACTGGAGTCCCCAACCCGACCCGATTGTCAGGTCTACGTGCGGGCATGGTTAAGTTGATGACTTAAAGTTATTGATTCTCTCAAAATGGTTGGGTTAAACAATATGTTAATAAGATTATGAGTGTAGGTGTGGTCCAAGATATTCACTGACATGGTTTTGGATGGATTCGATTCTGAGTAGGAGTGGAAAACTGTCCAGACCAGAACAAACCAAATCATATATACGATCTACGGTCCAGATCGAGAGACTAAAACATATACCATGGACCAGACCATGCACAATACGGTCTAGACCAAACAACGCTTGTGCGGGTGCGGTCCAGACCACAGACCATGTTAAAAAAATCATCAACATATACATGTGAAGCAGGAACACTCCAATTTCGTCATTTCAATATAATTGCACAAATTCATAAGCATAAATCTATATCCACAAATTCTCATTCTCAAGTGCAACAGGAAAGTAAACAAAACAGAGGAAGGTATAAATGATAGATTAGTTTACACGAGACATGTAAAAGATTAATGTTCTTAAATGACATGTTCAAAATTGCAACAAACAGGAGGTCAAGATTATCAAAGCACGCTAATTGTATATGAAATACATTCCACATAGCGTTTAACACAACATATTTCAAAAGTTTGTTTGGGTGACTTTTCAGATTAAAGGTGCTCTCTTTCATCGGAATTTCTCCGAGGAAGAGGGCCTGGACGGAGATCGCACCAAGTCCCAACAGCCTCGCAGCCCCACACTAGTAGTAATTGGGCTCACGGTCTAGATGTTGAATCGCGGTCTAGACCAGACCAAACCGTTTCAGACCGCAAGCTAAAGGGACAGACCACGAAAAGATCAAATTGTTTTCCTGGTCTCACAGTCCAGACCAAAGCATACGGTAAGGTCTAAACCGTGATTTTTCATAAGGTTTGGTCCAGATTTCCTGCCCTAATTCTGAGGGTCGGGTTAGTTCAGTTTGTCTACTCGATTAGTTTAGGGTCGGGCCGATTTCGGTTCGGATAATTTTTTGGCACTATGATTCATAGCAACAAGTGGTATATGAAATTTCTCATACCAACACATTTGATCTGTTTGTAAGGTTTTAAAATTTTAGGTACTATAATGTAAGTTCAAAATATGCAAGTAATAAAACATAATTTTATCACCAAAATTTCTCGGCCTTTATGTAAAAAATAAAGGGTCCATACTAAATTTTAAGAAAAATAATTTTGAGTACCAAGAAGTAATTTAAAAAACATTATGTTTATTGATGTGAGTTGACCCACTACCTGTATGGGTCAGATAGTGCCAAAGGAGAATAGAGCTTTTGTCAAGTTGGATGCTTGACCGTATAGGATGGGGACTTTTTAGCATAGTAGTAGGACCATAATTGGGTTTGGCCAAAAAAAAAAATTCCTAGTGTGAAACGGGGCACTTAAAGGGAGCCCCAACCTTTATTCTAAAATTGATCGTGGAGTTTGGACCCCAATAACGTAGTAGTACAACCAATAAGCTAAGATACTGTCTGGGCATCACAAACATGTAACCCAACTGACCATAGATGACCTAACGAGGCAAGATAATCTGCCACGACATTAGCTTCTCTGTAGACATGCTGTAACTCAACCTGCCAATCTTTGGTCAGCCAACACCTGATTTCCGCCACAACTGAAAGTGTGGATGGTAATGAGTTAGGGGTGGGCATTCGGTCGGTTCGGTTCAAACCGAACCGAACAGACAAATACCGACTCCCCGAAGTAGTTCACAGCACAAACCGAATTCGAACCGAAATATATTTCGGTTCGGTTCATCCGAACCGAGATATATTTCGGGTTCGATTCGGTTTTCGAGGCCATACCCGAAGTTCCAGAAAATAACTCCCACCCCACCTTTTTCTTTTCACGGGAAGCACTCTTTCCCACTCCCACCCCACCTTTTTCTTTTCACGTGAATCACTCTTTCCCCCTCCCACCACTTACTTTATCTCTCTCTTTACCTATCTGTCTCTCTCTCCTCATAGCACAAATGCAACCACTCCTCCCCTCTCTTGGTCTCTGGACTCGGCGGCAACAGGCGACGATGGCGAGAACATGCAAGTCAAAGCAGGCGACGATGGCGACTGACGGAGAGAACTCAGGGGTAGGCGGCGATGGTGCGAGCAGATTCAGAGACGGAGAGCGTGCAGATTCAGATGGCGATTGACGAAGTGAGTCAACCACTAGCTCCCTCCTTGATTTTGATTTTTGCATGTTGCCGTCAGTAGCCGCTGGATTCCGATTTCTAATTTTTGCCTATTATTCTTGCTTCTTCTTCTTCTTCCTCCTCTTCAATGAGGGCTTTTAGGGTTTCCAGACAGTGAAGGAGGTGAGATGGCGACATAGCGTGAAGGAGAAGAGGGTGGAGGCGATGGCCGATTTGATGGAGTCGCTCGTCGGAGAGCCGAAAGGCAGGGGAGTGCGAGGGATGTGAGTCGTCGCGGGGAATGGCGGCCGCCGAACGGTGTGGCAGCAGCGGCGGCCACTCTGTGACCTGTGGTTTTCATTTGGGAATTGGGAGGGGGCCTTAAGGCTTAAGGGTTGGGCTAGGGTTTTGCTATGAATTGTGGGCTGTGGGGAGTGGATTGTTGTGGGCTGTGAGGTATAATAGTGGGCTTTGGGTTTTTTTTAATTGTAATAACTGTGGGCTTTTAGGTTCAGTTGAGTTGTTGTGGGTCTATTTTGGAATTTCGGTTCGGAACTCGGAACCTCGGTTGGATGAACCTTGGTTTCCGAAGTATGAACATTTTCTTTCCGAATTCCGAACCGAACAGCCATATTTCGGTTTCGGTTCGGTTCACCTCGGTTTCGGTTCGGTCCGGTTCGGGTTTACCGAACCGGATGCCCACCCCTATAATGAGTGGCCGTCTCAATGATGGTCTTTGCTGTTGCAGAGTCGGTTTGAAGAAGAACTTTTCTAGCTCCAGTTTTCCAGGTTAGTCTTAAACCATGCACAATCCTAGTCAGCTCCGCACGGGTAATGGAGCCCCCCCCCCCTAAGGTTCGCTGCAAACACTTTAATGAAACGGTCATCGCCTCTCTTCACGATGCCTCCTGTCGCGTGCTAGAAGGAGAGTGAATAATATAGTCATCCGTGTTCAAACATACCTAGTCTGGTGGCTAAGTAAGTAGATAATTGTAGATAAAAATAGAACGAATAAATAAGTTGGAATCCAATATGCAGATAATTGTAGCAATCGCAATAAAATATTGCTACAAACTCTTTTCCAACACACAACTCTAGTTATTAGGACTAAATAGTTTTTCCATTAATATGGTGTCAAAGCCTTTGATCGAAAAATCACGATTTTGAATCCTTATGAAGACTTCATTATCAATAATGGTTTAGCACAAAAGAATAATGTTCAACCAGTGTAACTTAAAACCTACAGTAGTCTTTTGTTTGAAGGGCACGTAAAATAATTACGCGATTCCATCCTAAATCATAACAAATAAGGTCTCATAGACATCTAATCATCTATCTGTGGATTGTGGATGGAAGGGGACATGATATGGTTATACCGCATGTTGGTAGAAAATTGATTCAAGTTATTACAAACTAGTTGGTCCCAATAATTCGAGTTGTTGGGAAAAGGTTATGTTGGATCTTATATCACTCTCTAACACCCTCTAACACGAAAGCCAACTCATGAGCTTTAAGTTTGCACATGCAATTGTCATAGCTTGTGCTTTAATCAACTTTTAATACTGGGGGTCGTGGAGATTTGAAGGCACGATCACTTGGCCAAACCAACTCTGATACCATATCATAAACCAGTTGGTACTAATAACTCAAGTTGTTGGGGGAAGGTTATGTTGGATCTTATATCATTCTCTAACACAAGTGACAGAGTTTTTTTTATATAGGGAACCTGGAGTATGTATTAAATGACACGCAACATTACATCATCTAGCTTCAGCTGATCAAGCAAGTACACTGGTGGCCTATCCATCCAAACAACTCTCTCGTAAATACGAGTCTCCGATCGAGCCATAATATGGGCCGCTCCATTTGCCTCTCGGGGCAGGTGCTACCACTCCCCGTTACCCAACAAGGTCAAGCTTCTTCTGATGCTCCTGCACACCACACCTGTCTCTGTCAACTCCCTATCCGGATTCTGCAACTTCATAATTAAAGTCATACTGTATGTTTCTAATAAAGGGTTTGTGTCCCCAATCAAGGAAGCCATCTGAATTCCAAGCTCGGCTGCTAAAGCCTCGGCCAGCTCCACATTTTCGACCCCTTGAATTTGTTTTGCTGTTACGAGAATGAAGGCCCCATCACTGCCCCAAATGACTACACCCAGGCCTGCTTGTCCCATCGGGAACACTGTCGCATCCCTCGTAATAGACACCCGATCAGCGGGAGGGCGACCCCATATCCTCCTTGGCTGACTTAGTCCTGCATCTGCCTCGCGCGAATGGTGCTTCTTGTAGTCTTCAAGAAAGAAACCTGCCCTCAACACAATTTCATTCTCCGCTAGTTTGTGCTCATTCCAATAGTGAGCATTTCGCTCCTTCCACAAAAACCATAGCAACACACGCCACCCCTCCACCACAGCGACATCCTGTAAATTTAAAACCTCTGTAATTCAGCTGAGGTAGTCACCCGCACCCTGCTTGTTAAAGCAGTCGACAAAAATAGATTGTCTCCAAGCCGGGAAGCACACTGGCACTCAGTGAAGTAGTGGATTTGTGTCTCTCTTTCAGTGCAGAAGACACATTTATCACCCCACCTACTATTGTGAGCATCCACATGGTCTCCCGTCGGGAGAATGTCACGAGCAAACTTCCATAAGAGCAGCTTCACCTTAGGCGGAATGTGTAACCCCCAAAGTTTCTTCCACATCGCTTCATCCCCCACCTTCGCCAATCCTTCATTTTCTCTAAACCCTTGGAACCACAACTTGTAGCCCTCCTTTACTGAATAGACTCCATCTTTACTTGCCGCCCAAATTTGTTCATCCACTTCCCCATTCCCACGCAAAGGAATTTTGTAGATGGACTGAGCTACCTCGGACGGAAAACAGCTCTCCACCAAGTCTCGATTCTAGTCTTCAATCTCCGTGTCCACCAACTCTCGGACAGATGCATCCATTGGCAGTCCCCTTGGCACCGAAGGGATGAAGTATTGGGAAATTGATGGAACCCACCTGTCTCCCCAAATACGGACATTAGACCCATTGTCGATCCTCCATCTCAAGCCGCTACACAGGAATTCTTGACTGGAAAGAAGACTCCTCCATATGTAGCTCGGTCGGTAGCCTAGCTGGGCCTCAAGAATCGAAGAACGTCGGTGATATTTTGCCTTTAGGATTTGTGCGATAAGAGATTCCGGTTGTTTAAAGAGGTTACACAGCTGCTTCACAAGTATCGCTGTATTAAAACCCTTGAGGTCTCGGAATCCCATACCCCCTTCCTCCTTCGGGCATGTTAGCTTCTCCCTCCTCAACTAGTTGGAACGTCGCTCTTCTCCTTGTTGCCCCCACCAGAAGTTTGTGATCATGTTGTGCACTTCATCCAACACACCTTCCAGTCCCCTAAACACAGACATCACATATGAGAACTGTGCCTGCGCCACCGATTTAATGAGAACTTTCTGCGCAGTAGCTGACATGGACCTTTTCTTCCAACCCTTCAGTTTCTTTCGGACTCTGTCCTTTAGCTCAATAAAGAGCTCTTTCTTGGATTGGCCAGCTACCGTGGCCAACCCCAGATACTTCTCATGCTTCTCCACTCTCTGCATCCCTAGTACCCCACAGGTCATAAGCTTGTTATGCATCTTCACCCCCTCACTGAAAGAGACCGACGATTTTGGAAACCTCACCATCTTCCTTGATTCAACTTCGTAGTCCTGCAATATCTTCGTTAGCTCGAGGCTCTCACATTCAGTTGCCCGAGTGAAGAAAATAATGTCATCGGCAAAGAAAAGATGGGAAATCTCTGGAGCCCCTCTCGCTTTCTGGAAGCCACGAATTCTTTTTTCACGCACTGCTAACTCAGTATACGCCGATAATCCCTCTGCACACAACAGAAACAAGTACGAAGACAAGGGATCCCCTTGTCGTAGTCCTCTACTCGAAACAATCCTCGACGACTGGTGGCCATTGACCAATACTGAGTACGTGACCGAGCTTACACACTTCATAATCGTGCCTATCCACTGCTCCGCAAAACCCATCTTTCTCATCACCCCTTCTATAAACTGACACTCCACCCAATCGTAAGCCTTTGCCATGTCTATCTTCGCTACTAGGTAGCCCACATTTCTTTTTGTCTTCTTCTTCATTGAATGGAAGCATTCAAATGCCGCCATCACATTATCTGTAATAGATCTCCCTGGTACAAAAGCGCTCTGAGAAGGAGAGATCACCTTATCCAGAACAACCTTCATTCTATTAGCCATTACTTTAGCCACCAACTTATAAAGCACGTTGCACAGACTGATAGGACGGAACTCCTTCGGCGAGGTAGGCGACTTCACCTTTGGGATCAATGTAATTATAGTGTGATTCAGACCCGCCGGCATCGCCCCTCCCACAATGATGTCCCGCACCACCTGCCAAACTTCGGACCCAATGAGATGCCAAAATTTCCAGAAAAAGAGCACCGAAAACCCATCTGGTCCGGGTGCCTTACACTTTCCCATATGCTTCAGTGCTATAAAAACCTCCTCCTGCATCACCGGTCTTGTCAACTCACCATTCTCTTCCGTAGTTACTCTGGCCGTGATGGAATTTAGCACTGGCGTCCCCTCAGGGGTGGTACCTGCTGTAAAAAGTAAACGAAAATAATTTGTTATAACTTCAAACAGCCGCTCCTGGGCTACATACCACTCCCCGCTATCATCCTTCAGTCTTTTGATAACATTTCTCCTCCTCCTAGCAGAGGCTCTCCGATGAAAAAAGTTCGTGTTGCAGTCATCGCCCTTCAGCCAGTCCGCTCTCGACCTCTATTTCTAGTACTCCTCTTCATTACTTTCTAGCTCATCCAATTTTGACTCAAGGAGTTTCATCTGCTCCAGTACCTCATTCGTCTTTTCCCTTCTCTCCAATGCTCTCATAGCACGTTGGATGTGTTTCCGATGTTTGGAGAACCTCGGGAAGGAGGCTCGACTACACTCATCAAGCTTCTTCCTACAATCCTCAAACTTGCCCAGAGATTCACCCCAGTACCAGCCGTCCACACCTCTTCTACAAGCTTCGGGCAATCCTGTTGCTTCAACCACATTGGCTCTACCCGAAAAGTCCATCCCCACTTCGGATCGGCATCCTCATCACCCAACATATTGCATAGGATCGGTCTGTGGTCCGAGCTTCTCTTGTAGAGGTGAGTAACCGAGTCGGATGGGAAAGCCGCGTGCATAGCCACAAACCTGTCTAGCCGCTCTTCAGTATACCTGCCAGCTTGCCTTTTATTCTCCCATGTGTGCTTGTAACCGTGGAAGCCCAAATCACTATAGCCAATATCCGTCAAACAGTCCCAAAAGTCCGCTATCTCCTGGCCTGCCACCTCATTGCCCTCG